AAATTAAAAATGGTTGCTTCTGTCTAATTTGACGGTACTAACCTTTGTATTCTATTCTTTGTACTCTAGTCCGTAGTCCGTAGTCCATTACATTATGTGCGTTAGAAATTAAAAATGGTTGCTTCTGTCTAATTTGACGGTACTAACCTTTGTATTCTAGAATTTCATCTTGTCCTAAGTCGTAACCAAGCTCGGTAGCTATTTTGGTAAGTTGAGCAGTGTTTGGAGGTTTAACCACTTTTTCCTTGTACGTTGCTTTCATCTTTTGTAGACGCCACCTAATTATAACACTTAACCGACCAATGTTATCTAAAACAGCACTCGATAAGTTATTCCTTTACCAGATAAACGTCGCCAATACGATAAGGCGGGCGAGCGGCCAACTGTGAAATGCAAATAACGACAGAAGTGATAATCTTTTCATGTACTAAATTGGGGGTCGTTGTTCGCTTAGATATTGCGATGAAGACAAATCCTATCCTATCCTATCCTATGCTTTTTTGTTTTAAATTTATATCATCACAAGTGGATAACATAATTTAAAAGAAAAAGCTTTCGAACTAGGACTGGTCAAGAGAAATCAATAGGCGGTCACGAGGTGATCATGCAAGGCGACTTTGCATGACTCCTATGATAGAACGCTGACCGGGTTATTAAGATTCTTTCCTCTGATCGAAATTCCAGAGAGCATCCTTAACGTACAATGGATGCGAACCTTATTGAAGGATCCACATTACAGGGGCCCAGTGCTGAAGAGATAAGGTCACTATCTCGACGAATGGGCTTTGTTATTAAAGACGAGGAGATATCCGTTTATTTAGGTAAGTAGTTTCTTTTTAGCCTGGTTTTAACTATCAATGATTTCACAGTTCGCACAGAACTCACAGACAGGACAGTGCTAGCACAGGGGTTAAACAACAGCTCCGCTCGTGTGTTTTAATTGTGTTCCTCAAGGCAACTAGGTGAAAATACAAAGTTTTGAATTTTTGCCAAACGGGCACACCGGCAATAAATTATTTGTCTTTGCAGTGCAACGTCTTGAGCGAGTATAAGGCGTTGCGTGACTCAGCTTTTAGTCTTAGTTTGCGGGCTGCGCTGCGTTTAAACAAACAGTTAGGGGGGAAATGTTACTTGTGGAGGTAGGGGGGGGGAGGGAGGGGGAAGGGAAGGGGACGGAGGAGAGGAAAGAGGGTTTTCCAAAGGCTAAGGGAGGAATCTGTCATATTCTTACACCTCCACCTCCGGGAATGGAAAATCTTGCCTTTGTCCCTGTTACGCTACATTATGTGCAGTAACGCAAGATGTAGTAGATTTTGACGCAAAATACAATAGAGACAAAATGTGACAGGCATTGTATAAGGAGTGTTTTTAGCGGCCTTTGCAGTCATATGAGCATCAGCGATATTGCACAATTCTACGTGGAATTAAATTTTGCTTCATATTTTCTGCATAAATTTGATCTCTTTTACAGTTTACATCAAAAATAATTTTTAAGCGACGATTCAGTTTTAAATCAGGGAATCTGATTTCCAAGGGACAACTCACGTCCTGAAACTGAAACAAAAAGGCTTAATTAATATCATGAATCACTAAATAATCTTTTAAATACTGCATTTTAGTGAAGAAAAGTATTATATAACGTTTTCTTTACACGTTGAGCGCTTTTAATTAAGAATAAACGTAAACTTACAGTAGCTGTCTTTGCAGGAATTTTCCACGTTCAGTAGTGTCAGTTGTTACAATTTTTCTCTACTACGAACAGTCTATGCTTTTTGGCAAAGTCCACTATGCGAGTCTAAAAAATCAGTACAAAAATTAGCGCGCCTTGCCGCGCGGAACTCTGGATGTGAGAACTCTGATAGTTCCACGCGGCGCACCAACGGTTCTGGACTACTTCAAAAGGGATTGAATGTTCGTCAAGTACATTTTAAGGGGTAACAGTTCCTGTAAGAGGGTGAATGGGAGGGGGGGGTCCACTTGTCGGTTGTCGGTTAAAATTCAGTCACTTTGTCGGTAGTCGGTTGAAATTTTCGATTTTTGTCGGTTGTCGGTAAATCCCAGTTAATAATAAAAAATTAATGTTAATTATTAATGTTTGTTATAAAATTCACCTAGTTTCAAGACTCTGAGCCCCATATAACGTGTAAAACTTGTAACTTGAAAGATTGCATCATTTGATTTCCCTTAAACTTCATTAACTCTGGTTTTGTTTTTGCATATTTATCCCAGTTTCTCAGTCCCAGTATCCTCTCGAAGTAATAATACCTTTGCAAGCGTCATAAATACAAATGTCATTTACTACCTACTGTCACAAGTCGAGACGCACAAATGCACGAACAGCTCTGTCGGATCGGGTAATACACGCTCTCTTGACAAGCTCCTGATGTTCTTCATTTTCGGTGTCTTCGTCATCAGAATCTGTCTCATATTCATCAATTTGTACCTCTCTGTGATCCTCCAACATCTCAGAAACATCCCCATCGTCCACAAATTGTATACTGACAACTGGTTGTGGTACGGAATTCGATCGAATGATTTTATTCGATTTCCTCAGGGAATCGAAGTCTCTCTTCAGACTCGTTGGCGGTGGGTTGAACAGCGTAGACAGCAGGCGGCAAGGCCCCAGCTTTATCTTTTGTTGTCTCACTCCTAACCTTCCGTTGGTGTACTGGTCTGTAGCTCTCTAACCATTCTTTCATCAGTTCTGTTCCTCCATACCTGGTGCTATTCCTTCACTTGGCAAAGGTGCCATCGTTGCAACAGCTGAAAGGGGCACGGCCGATTGAGGGACAGGATAGTACGACCTGTCATGCGTATAGTACTTTGCTGCCCATCTGGATGTACGCTTTATAGACTCCTTCACGATTGTACCAAAATCCTGGGCATACTGGAGAACCGTAAATGTCTCATGCTTGAAGTGTGAGACAGCATGCAGGTTTTAAACTTGTGTTGTCAGCAGCGTTACCAGCAGTATGTCGTCTGCAAATTCTGGATCAACGTCGATCACGTTCATATACAGTCTGTCCATCCCTTTTTTCAGCAAAGAAACAGACACTTGAGTCTTCTGTGACACAGTTCCCTGTGGACCATTCGTTGCCGACGTTTCACTCAAGCAAACAAGCGCCTTCTTATTACACTCCTCGCAATCAGTTGCTACTGCCATAACGACTAACTTTTGACACATCAAGTTTCTACCTAAACAGGCGTCACATACCCTTAACGATGAGATTTGAGAAACTTGTCCATTATCCTTGCAGGTCGCAAAGACCGATTTTGATGATGGGCACTCCTCGCATTTGCTCATTGCTAAACAATTGTTTCACTTGAAACAATATGTTTAACACTACGCTGACCTTTCAAGCAATTTTCATAGGTATGTACGGTTCTAATGCTATCTTTCATGCAGGAAAATATTTCTTCTCCAGTCACGGATTTGGGTCGGAAAAAAACCGCCGCGGGCATTGCGGCACCGTTATCAAGCGAGGTCGCAATTGTTACGTCTGCACTGGTGATTAGATTGGTCTTTATCTTTTCAGGGTCTGGAAGAGGATGCTTTTTTACGAATTTCTCGTCTACTTTATGCTAAGGCCAATTACTTGTTTTTGCCGTGGGTCGTATTCTAGACCAGGCTTCAGAGCCGTCCCGTCGCTCGCCAAGGACACTGGGATAACGTGTACTTTCTTCAACAATTGCACGTAGATCTGCTTTTGGATGCTGACACAGGGAGAAGAGCGACAGCAGATGAGGCTTGATCGTTCCACTCTCGATTGTGTAGCCTGATTGGCATCTTTTTATCGCGTTTAAGGAAGGTCCACACAAGTTAAAATCCACGAATAATTTGAATTCTTTTTCGCCGCCTCTCCCTGGCCTTGTAAAATCTGTTTTCAGCAAGGGCTGATTGTGTATCAGACTCCACTGTTCCATCAGTATTTGTTTTAAATTTTTAACTGCCGGGTGGTACGTTGTGACGAAAGGCAATAAACGTTCGTGACCTTTCGGCTTTTGTGTATGTTTATATGCCGATTGTCAAGAGGCAAAGTTGACCTACAGACAGACACCTTTCTATGATGTTTTCTGGGTACCCTCTTGCTTCGAGGCTTTGTTTGAATTTCAAACGGCCTACTTCAAATGTTTTTTTCCAAGAAGTAGTTCTAGGTAATCTTATTGCTTGCCTTTTAATGAACCGTATTTTACGCCTGGTGGGTGGCACGAGGCGAAGTGCGTAATTTGGAAAGTCTCGGTCTGCCTCTAATGAGTTTCGATGTTCCAGATGGAATTTTTTGCAAATCTTTCCCCTTTGAACACCGTGGTATCGAGAAAAGTGATTTGGTTGATTCTCTGATATTTCAGCAGTGAATTTGATAGTTGTGTGGAAATAGTTAGCCCGTTTAATGAACCGATTTACCTCTTGTCTCTCACAATCCCGAAGGGAGAAAACGTCATTAATGTAACGTATCCATTCTTTTGGTTTGGTTTCGCTTTGTTGGATTAATTTCTTTTCAATTTCCGCCATGAAAATATTGGCAAATGACGCTGCTATTTTCATACCCAACGCGGTTCCATGTTTTTGGAGGAAGCTCTCCTCAATGAATTAAAAAGAATTTTCTTTAAGGATTAAGCCAAGCACTTCCGTGAGGCAGTGCGTTGGGATCGGTGCGTTATGATTGAGGAACTTTTCGTATGTTTCTCAAACTATATTCGTTCCTTTTTCTTGACGTACATTTGTGTCTCACTTTCTGCGACAACCCAATTGTCTACAAGAAGATCGTTCATCCGTTGCGAATGTCTCACCTTCGCCACAACTACAATCTTGTTAACAATCTCTGCTCCTTGAAGAAGACTTTTGAATGCTTTCAATTGCTTATTTGAACAATAACTTGTCTCCAGAACTAACTTAGAAAGAAGGTCCGAGACTTCTATCGAGGACAGACATTCTGAGTCGAATTCAGTGCTCGCTTCGAATGGTTACTGGATCGACACCAACCACATAAATTTTCTTAAAATATCGTTCTCGAACGTGGCTTTTTAGGCCCTCCACTTAGTTCAAAAGCACAGGTATCCTAAGGAGAATATTCTCTTTTGATTCTGGATTTTTTTCACCGGGAATGTCCATAAAACAAAGTATTTGAATGAGGGCACGGTAGAGATGGCGATATATTTGCATGAAATTTCTCACCTGAGATGAGCACCAACATGGCGGACGCTTAATTTGCATAAATGTATGACGTCAGCTGCAAACCGATAATTTTTTTCTTGTTTTGTCGGTAGTCGGTAGTATTTTTCGCCTTTTGTCGTAAGTCGGTTAACCCCACTCACACTCTCCTGTAATGGAGAGCCAATTAAAGAAATTGAGAGATGACGTTTTGTTTGGAAACGGAATTCTAAGATCAAAAATTTTCTTCCGCAGAGGCGATGACCAGCACTCTCCGTCATACTTACCAGCGGTTATGCGACTTACCAGAGTCTAGACTCCCTGTGAAATATCCGCGGGAAGCCGGTTACAAGCCAGGGCCAGCTGAAAACCCTTACAATGCGTGGTGCGTATTTCTTTATGTCTGTTTGCTTTATTCTTTCCTTCTTGTCGATCAGCTGCTTCATCGGCGTTGAGAAAGGATTTTATGTGATAAAGCCATGACCACTGGTCTATGTTAAATCACAGTGCTTCTTAAGGGGAGGGGGGTAGTCTGGTTTTGTCAACAAGAAAGGGAGGATAGGTGGGAAGGGAAATTTGTTAAATTTGCCAACGAGCTTAACTTAGCAGACTATGTGTTGATTAATAATTCTCTATAAACGTTTTTTCTCTTTCATGATATTAGGCATCCAATTTCTGTTTCTAACTAACGGTCTCCTCGATCATAAAATCAAATCTTTAATCCAGCACGCTAGCGGCGAGTTCCGTTGGTGAAAGTGCGCTTTCACAGAACGGCAATCGGTCGAGAGTAATCTTTCGTTTTCACGAGTCATTTATCAATAGCTCTTAAAAGCTACTCTCGAGAATTTCAGGTCCTGGCGTTGTGACGTAATAGGCGCTCAAAGCGGTAAACTCCAAGGAAAAACCATTGCTATCAAAGATAACATCCCAGTGGCTGGACTGCCAATGACTAGTGGATCCCGGATGTTAGAACATTATGTCCCGGATCATGATGCCACTGTGGTGACTCGGATATTAGATGCTGGAGGCAGAATCACAGGGAAAGCCGTATGTGAGGAGTGGTGTTTTACTGCCACTAGCTGCACCGCATTCACGGGTCCTGTTGTCAACCCTCACAATGAAACGAGAATGGCTCTCGGGTCTTCATCCGGCTCAGCAGCACTGGTGAGCCTATTTGTGTCATTGGATTGATTAATAATGTGCTCTAAGGATCATGCTCTTTTCATTAAGGCATGTGAAAGGGTTTAAATAAAATCCGCCTAACGGCTGTTTATGGCCGCCTGTAACACCTCTAGCCACCATTTTTGAGCCCGCGAGCAATTAGGCTGTCGCCTTAATTACGGCACAGCCGCCTGCTGAACCATCGGCGGCCCCCCTACGATGAAAGTTATCGTTATTGAAACCCCTGATGAACTGGATTAAAAAGGGCACAAATCCAGGTGAATTACATAGGGCCAAGAGGGCCTAGTAATTTTCTTCAATAGCTGAACAGGACAACATCACGATATTTTGGGGTCGTTTTCTGGAAGGGAAAATATTACCTCCATAGTAAAGAAAAACGCTGAACATGAGCTGGATGGAATAAAAATACAGAAACGAATCAAATAGGAACATACACCATTGTAGATGGTAAAGAACGAGAAACAATAAAATTCTTTTATCTTAAGTTTAAGCCGTATTTTTAAAAATGACGACTGGTTCCTGACTAACTTTAAACACTCTCATTGTATTATACTATACTGCATGTCATCTGATGGTAACTACCAATTCATGACAGGTGGCGGGGGGATACACGGACATGGCCATGGGCGGTGATCAAGGGGGGTCCATTAGGATCCCCTCTGCTGCTTGTGGAATTGTGGGATTGAAGCCAACATACGGCCTAGTACCTTATACAGGAATGGTACCTATAAATCTCTTACTGGATCATACGGGACCTATGGCAAGGACCGTCTCGGATGTAGCTTTGCTCTTAGAGGTAAAGTAGCTGTTTTCAATATATTATTTTAAAACAATTCAGATCCTTCTTTGTAGCTATGCTGTTTGCCATGCACCATGTAGCTACTACTCATCGATTTGCTACTTAGAGAGATCAAATTATTTTGGAGGCTTACATAAGGACATAACCAACTAATATGGGTTTCTGTTGTTCCTGTGGCCCCATCTTCATTTAAAAAAAAAAAGGTGCCATTTTTTGACGGCAAGAAAATAACCTGTACCCAAATTTCTTTAGGAAGCCTTACCTGGAAATTCTCTCTAAAGCTCTGTTTCGTAGTAAAGTCTTCTTTCCTTCTATTCCTCACCAGGCGTTGGATCTTTGACCAACCTTTAGAAACTCTCTCTATTCAGCACCCTTATTCCAGCCTCTGTGACTGCCGTTGTGGAAACGTCCGCTATGCGCCCTTTCTTTCATAGCTTTGTTGGTCTCCCTCTCTCTTTCTCATTTATCTTTACGGTTGGGACGATTTTCTTAATGTACCACTTTCGTTGAAATGTATAAAAATATTTTTTTTCTGCTGAAGTTCCTCCCCCAAAAAATTATGTGGCCATTGTTCCGTTCTTCGTCTGTCCAATTTGGGTTCGTTGGAGGTAAAAAACGCACGTGTCCTTTTTCCAAATTATAAAAGTGAACGAAGTTCTGTTAAGTTAAAATATAATGCACTTAAGTTTCATTTTAAAATTATACGAAGGTGATAGCAGGATTGGATGGAGACCTGGATCCAAGACAACCACGTGACCTTGGTAAACCAAATTCCTACATCAATGAGGTAAACGAAGAACACTTGCGTGCATCGTGTCTTAGAAAAGATCAGAACTGACTTTACATTATCTTTGTAACAAATTTTTGTTCATAACAGTTTGCGCAAAATTGACCCAGATGACAGCGGTGTTAAGGAGCATAGCATCAACAAAATAATAACTAGTTATAGTTAACAGCTATTCACCGAAGGAAGGTGGTGAGTTTACCAAGCCGCTTCGCGCCCTTGTTAATATCCACCGCTGACCACCAACACTAAGGCGAATACTTGTTTGAGTATATACTAAAACAGTGAGATACTTTCGCACAAAAAGATGATTTTCACCAATTCATTCCTGCAACGATTACAATATTTTCGGGCGAAAATCCCACGCGAGTTGCTTGGAATATGAATATTAAAAGATAATCTGAGTCTGAGGGGCCAATCAGAGCTTGCCTTCAACGCTGTCCACTGTTTTTGTGTATACCAACTTCCTGGTAACCGAGAGCGAGGTCGTTACGGGGAAACCTCAAACTGAAGCCTTGCCGTGTTGCCTTATTGTAAATTAGATGTGAAATTGAGGTTACCTGGGGCTTTCCGGCACAATCTCAAATTAAAGGTAATTTTAAATTGTACCTTCGCTGTTCTTCAAAATTTTTTAATGCTTATCATCGAATTTACTCTTTAAGACTCCCTCAGAGTCGCCACGACACTTTTGTGAACTTTTGTGATCATCCTAATTTTTATAATCCGTAATCTGCACGTGAGCATTACCGCTGCTTTGATCTCGCTCTTAGCCAGTCAGAGCGCACGTTATATCGGCCACAAATCAAAGCCACATAATAATAATTTATAATAATTGTTTACTTATACAAAGTAAAACGATATCCGAGAGAAGTCGAGGATGTTTTTTTTATTATTATTTACATCTGTCGTCCACATCTTTATCCTCTGAATAATAGCTCAATGGAGATATTTCCACCTTACGGATCGGCGTTCTTCAAGAAGGTTTTGAGATGCCAGGAGCTGACACGGAAATTATGTACTTTGTGAGGGAGGCCGCTAGCCGGTTTTCAACTTTGGGGGCTACTGTTGAAAACATTTCAGTGCCAATGCATTTTGATGGTAATGTATTAAAAGTTCAGGTTAACATATTTTCCCAGTGAAAATGACTTTAAAAAATACTGTGTCAATACCAACCAATTAGGTGTCTCCTAAGCATCATTTACTTAAATATTTGCCACATTTTCGGTGCCACGTGAATGAGCTTTATACTCATCTTTTTTCTCTCTTTCTCAACAGGAATTCTTATATGCGACGCAATTTGCTCAGAAGGCGGTTACAGACTACTCAGTGGTAAGTATACCGATATACCGTTTCACCCGTCCATAAACGTAACAAGCTAATGATCATTACTAATTTTATAGATGTTCGATTGTTACTAGACAGCGGCTTTTTTGTTACCAAGAATTCCATTTGGTAAAGTTATGCATTCTTGCTTTTTTACGTTTTTGGGCTTAAAATGTTTAATACCCTAAATAGAGAATATAAAAATCAAGTCGTCACAAGCGTGGGACCTAAACAAAATATGAAGGCCCACCTGCTCTTCCAACTGAGTTAAAGAAAATTAAACTCTTTGGTAATGAAACATACGCAACAATTTATATGTGAGATGCATCTTACATAATGATGCAAATAGCAGTGGGTATGTTGCGAGCGTCCTGTCCGGGGATAGAAGGAGGAGATACATGGTTAGTTTTCAGCTCGGACAAATGCTTTAAAAACATTTATCAAATGTTTTGACAAATGTTCATATTTTCCATTCATTTGGAAGCAGTCAAGACTCCAAGGGACTATTCAGAATTTTCCAAATGTTTTTTCGTATGTTTTAGGATATAATTCCGACGCAAGAGGATTTGTTGACACGAGTCTTCAGAAGGCCATTGGTCGTGGTTTACAATCTCATGCCAATGATCTGAGTGCTGCCGGAAAGTTAACAGTCATGCTTGGTGCTTATGTGCATGAAAAATTCCGAGGAGTATTTCACGGCAAGGCTATAAATTTATCACGAAAGTTGTGCGAGGAATATGATAAAGCTTTGGAATCTTACGATGTTCTGGTTTTACCAACGATAGTTACAAAGCCTCCCAAAGTTCAAGACAGAAGCCAACTTAATTTTGGTAAGTCCTGTGGGGAAAACAATTCTTAACCGTTGGTGTTAAAACATTTTACCAAACTTGGCGGAACAAGGAATAAACTGGAGACAGTGGAGCACATGTAGCCTGACAATTTCAAAATGGATTTTTGAGCGCGGTCTGTGTTATTGAAGGGTGATTTTTCTTGCGCATGTTTAATCCACAGGTAGGTTTTAGGCTGGGCATCGTGTAAGTATACCAGTTGCATTAAGGTTACACGAAATTTAGGTTTAATTGATATTTTTAGGCCAAATATATTTTTTAGCTCTATATATTTATTTATTCTGAAACTTATACCTAACAACACAAATATTAGCGGGCAGACATTACTAAGAGGTAGCGAAAACCAGCCATTTTCCCTTCCCATACATACCATAAAACGAGACTTTTTAGCGGACACGGACATCACAATTCAGTGCCCCATTGGGGCCCAAAGCTGAATTATGCAAACATTTGAACAAGTTTTATCCAAGATTATTCTGTAGAAAAACCTTAACATCCATAAGAAAGTGTTCAGTTCACGTTCTACGAAATGAGCTGAATTGCGCTCGCAGTTTAATTGGTTTTTACATATGATCTATTTGAGCACAGCCAGAGTGATGAAATGACGTCACCACTAACAGCATTTTACTTTTTTTCTTATACAAAACAAATCGATTTTATCTCGCAGTGGGTCTGTAGAATAGTAGATCACATAGGACGTTAAAATAAATTAAGAACATCAGCATTATCAGTGACACACTCAGCTACACTATGTGCGCTTCCTTTTTTTTTGAGTGAACAGACACACGGCAACAATCTATTAGGTTCATTTTGTCGTAGAAAGTAAACTGTTTGACTTATGCCTCAAGTTATAAATACATAAAACCCACGAGTCTTTTATTTTTCCAATTCATGCCATACTTTTCATCAATTGGATATCGGACGTTGCCCTCAAACCCTTTTTGTAAACGTCAATAGTCATGACGGTTACTTGCCGACGGTTGCACTACGCGTCCGATTTTATCATTCACATATATGATTACCTACGCATTCTTTTCACACTTAATTCTTTTAGGAACGGCGTTTGACTTCTGTCAGAATACTGGTCCTTTCAATGTCACAGGACACCCAGCCCTGTCAATTAACGCCGGCTTCAGTGATGGTTTACCAGTTGGTATGATGATTGTGGGAAGAAAGTTTGACGAAGCCACTGTTCTGAATGTTGCTTATGCTTACGAGAAGATGCGAGACTCTAAATCAATTTAAGAACTTAAATTTTTTTGACGAGAAGATAAGTAACATATACTGCTTTAATTAGTAGCGAGAGACAGAAATTATGGTTAGCTAAACGAAAATAAATTTTCTTAACTCATCCATAGTACTTGTCTTTAAAGTTCCCTCGGGACAATCATTTAAAACGGATCAAAACTGAAAAAAGTGGTCACTTTTGGAGAAAGTTTAGCTCAATGAGAATTCTTTGTCTAAAATAGTAGTCAGTTACGCTTGAGAGAAGTAGATTCCAATGGTTCAGTGCTTAGCAGAGGTAAATTTTTATTTTAGAGGGGAAGAAGGCGAGACGTATTTTAACTAAAAATCTAAAATATATCTTCAATCATTATTCATCACTTGGATGGTTTATTTGGACCCAACATAATGACCAGCTCCCAGTTGGCTTGTTAGCTCTGTTGGTAGAGCGCTGCACAAGTACCGCAGAGAATATGGATTCAAAATCCCGGACGGGCCTGAATTTTTTTCAAGTCTGATTTCAACTACTAGTTCAGTAGTGTTCATAGCTGCGAAGATCTCCTATATTCATCTGAAAAGGCTAGTTGAACAGTCATGTGGTTGTTCGATTCGTACCTACGGACGTAGTCGATTCGTACACAGCTAGGATAATCCATACCCAGTCAGTTTAGCCGTTTCGTATCCATACTAATAAAATACGTTTTCCATATTAAGTATGTTTCAAGTATGATCAGTTTCTAAGGTCAATTAACATTATAATCTGCGTTCAATGTAAAGTTTATGTGGCGTCCATTTTTGTTCGCGACTACTGAATGTAAGGCCTGGAACCGAAATTGTGGGGTCTGGTCTCGTTAGAGTTGGGAAGGTCATAAGTATAAACCAACAGACCTTTACTGATATCTGTTCAAATGCTTAGACGTAAGCTATTTCGTGAGTTATCCTGGGTTTTGATCGTCACTACGGTCCACGGACATGAAAAGACGGGATGCCATTGGTTTCCTCCACGGAAAAGTATGAAAGTCGCTGCTTTGAAAATATCAAACTTTGACGATGTATGGGGTGCTACACAGCCATCTTTTTCGGAGGCATAACCGTTGCTAACGGTACTAACTTACTGTAAGTAACTGAGTTAGTTTTAATAGTGACAGAAATGATAGCAGCCCGCTTTACATAAGGTCAGCGTGAACTTTGCGGACTCAAGAAGTCAGCATGAAAATGATGTTGGGGCCTCGTTGACAATCAGAACAAAGGCGATGCATAATTAAAAAAAAAACAATCTCAGGGAATTATAAAGGTCCCTAACCTTGATTGAAGGCGTTTTCTTAGTCGTCAAATGTCTGGGTAACAATTAGTTAATGATATAATTGTAAAAAAGCATTAAATCTACGTATCGAATGAAATCTATGCATCAATACTATATCTCATTTCTCAAATTTTGTTATCTCAGTAAATGAAGAGAATTAATATCAGTTTTAACAAAGAAGATTTATTAGCAAGCGATAACGAAAGAAAGTCGAGAACGCACTCTGGACTTCAGAGCTTAGATTCCTTTCAATAAATTTTTCTATTCTCTTTTTGCGTCTAAAGTGACCTTTTTTTCCCAGTAAAAGAGGATAAAATGCATTCAAAGTTGACAATCAGTAAAGATTACGCATCCATATTGTTATTGTGCAGAGTAAAATATATTGCCGTATTAAAATCATCAAGCACGTTCATATTAACGAATATTTACATCACTCACGCACTCCACCATTGGTATTCATCGCCTTCGATTTTTATCGGATTATTGAATTTCGTGCGCGAGATTCTCATAATTTCTCGACTAAAGGTTTCCACAACTAGATAATTTCTTCTCGATTTTAATCCGCTGTATAGTGACCGCAATCTCAAATTGATATTCGTTCTGTATTTTTAATGACATTAAAAATTTGCAACAGCACTCAGCTACTCAATTTCCTCTTTACACAGACCAATGATTTACGGTTGGTTATTTTGTGATAGTTCATTATTGACCTAATGGGTGATTAGGAATAAAGTCTATTGTGGACAGAATCCTTGGACCAATTCATTTTTCCTTTGTCTACCTTTGTTTATTTCGTGTTTGTGTTTCCCGACAGCGCCACAACTGATGCCAAACAATAACCTTTGGCGGCTTAATTTCTACTTTTTGCTTCATTACAATTAGCGATATCTACCGCTAAAACTTTAGTTCTGTTGCAAGTAACTCAAGCGAGGTTTTGCTAATTGGAAGCATGAAAGCGAGAAATGCCTCATCAATGAAAATTAAATTCTTCAATGTCAAAGTACGCACTGGGAAACAGCGGAACTATTACTTCGTTCTCGAAGATTCAGACTAAATAATACCTCTGTCATTGATTGATTTATAATTTTTAAAAATTTTTACGAAGATGGTTTGCGTGCGAAAGACAAATTACAACTCCAACAGGCAATGTTTGAGACGAAAAAAAACTAAATGTGTACAAAATTAAATTTAGAACAAGGAAAATGTCATTTTGAGGAGACTTATTTAAGAATGAGTGAAAGCTGTCAACGTAACTCGGTAATGTTTTTCAGATTTTTCGATAAAGACTTCACTTTTACGGCTCGTCATTATTAGCGAGAATTTCATTTTGCAAAACTACTGAAACTTTATGAAAACAGAATCAATTTTACGTAGTGACTGTGTATAATTTCCGCGGAGTTGCAATTTCTCGCGAACGACTTATTGGTGTTGTCTAATTTAAGTTCGTTCGTCTTTCTTCTAAATATTATGGCTTCGGGGCTATTTAGAATAAATTTGTTTATTATTGTAATACGTTTTTGAACGAATATTGCTGGGCGCTTTAAACTGTCAACGCAGCAGTCCCTTATAATTTAGTGTTGACAGCTCTCACTTGAGGTAAAAACCATCTTTCCTCGCATGCGGTCCTTAAGGTATTGAAAGCCCTTGAAACCATTCTTTTGCTTTTTCATTCCCGCCGTCGAATAATTATCCGATTTAAAAGAGCGGTATGAATTTCGATTTCTCCGCCTTCAGAAGAGACAGAAGGAGGACGATTCGCCTAAAGCGAATTAAAATGCAAAGTGACTCATTTCTCTTGGCAGCTGCAACCAATGTCTGTCGGTTTACATAGCAAACAAGAAATTTGACCATTTCCTTTATCGCTACAAGAAATCTTTATGAGATCTATTTAAGATATATTGGGAAATTATTTTAAGAAACTTACCACCGCAAAGTTGTTTTAGAGAGCGAAAAGAAAGAGCGTAAAATTTCAGACTCTTTAGTACTTCATCTCTAAGCACGTGATTTTTTTGTGCTCGTCAACTGAGCGTAGCGAAGCACGAAGTAATCTGCATTCGAGCAGTGTCATCATTGACAGCTGAGCGACACTAAAATCTCCCGCAGAATTCATTGATATTGGACTATACGAAGAATCCACGGGTAGCACCAAGATGACCCAACCAAAATAGACTATTGGAAGATTTGTTTGGCGTTCAACACGTAAGACCGCGTCAAGGAAATTCAATCAGTATTGGGCCTTCACGTCAAGTGCTAAAGCTTTGTCTACGACTTTTTGTGATTCATATACCTCGTCAAGGTTTGATATTTTTCAATGCAGCGACTTCCATACTTGGTTTGTCCACCCGCTGTAAAAGGCCTGTGGTTTCCCAGTATGTTCTGGCTCTATATGGAAAGGGAAAGTCAGTTGGAATGCTGTTTTGTTCAGGGAGTCTGTATTAGCATAGCGAGTCCGTGACCAATTCAAAACAGAAAATCGTCGATGAAAAGTGAAAGCAAATGTATTTCGCAGTTCTCCTGTTTGCTAACTCTCTTCAATATTCATGGCTTTATCGAGGAGAAATCTAATATCGAGATTTTTGATGGCAAGAACGAGGACGAAATGTTTATTTTTACTGCTAACTTCTATCATTTTATACGTTGTCGGCAGTTTTATCTGCTTGCATATCCACGATTATCATAATGAACTCAAGATCGGTTCTAGCAAGGATGATTCCCTCGTAACAACCGATCTTCTTCGACTAACACAAACAGGCTCTGTCACGCGTGTGAAGCAAGTTTTTGAGGTTCACGGCGACGAATGGAAAAAAAATGAGTTTGTAACAGCTGATGAGTCGCAAAATTCACCGGACATCGAAACAAAACACATTGAATTAACAAACATGGAAGGCAACCTGTCACCGCGGCTGCCAGGTTCACGACGAAAATTTTTGTTTGTTTTCCGTTATTATGAGCAGTTAGGCAGAGCGACGAGTAACCTTTTGGATTTAGCCTCATTTGCGAAGAGCAAAAATCGTGTTTTGGTCGTTCCATATGTAAATAATTCTCGCATGTCCGGTTTATCATCGGGAGTAAGTCATAATTTTCACAAGCCTGAGAATCCTCCGCACATTACATACTCTTTGCTAAGCGAGTATTTCAATTTGGACGACTTAAACTCCAAATTAGAGTCTCGAGGATACAGCACTATGAGAAGCTTTCGTGACCTCGAATCCCACTGCGATAAGAGATTCAATATCGTGGTACACTTTCTATTCCACGATGAAAATTACCAAAGAGTAACCGCTCTATGGTACAGGATAACTGAAGAGAAGGTTGCAACCACTTATAAAGAGGCTAGAGAACGTAATGGCTGGGTGGATTGTCCTTTTATAAAGCACTCACGCCTTAGCAAACAGATACAGTTCAAAGTAAGACGTTATATTTGCGTTGATCCGGAAGTCATAAGGACCGCTAGTGATTTAGAGGATAATGTTCTTCAAGGAGCTAAATGCGTTGGCATTGTTCAGTGGAGGGGGAATGGTCCAGAAAGAGTGCACTTCCCTTTGGACCCATCCATAACGCAGCCTCTTCGTCCGGTCGACCTAGAATTTAACTCCGACCTCGTCGAGCTGGCGAAAAAATTCGTGAGAGAGAATTTGAATGAAGGATTCATAGGCGTGCATGTTCGTTCCGAGAGACATATAGCTCGCAAAGGCGCGAACGTTACAAAACGGTGCATGGAAAAACTTGCAAACCGCGTGCAGACCTTGCGGGACGCTTTGAGCATTAACAAGGTCTACTTAGCATCAGATTTAACAGATTATGGCTCAGACACGTTGATGAATTTCGCAGGCACGAAGTATCGCAGATCTCTATCGGCGTACCTGCGCGAAGTTTTAAGCAAGCCCGTAATGTTTAACCCGAATGGAGTTCTGTACGACAGTGGCGCCACTGCAATTGTGGAAATGAATATCCTTGCTATGGCTACGAGGCTTTTCACTTTGGGAGGCGGAAATTTTCAAGAATGGATGGTAGGTTTATTTCTAAGGAAGCATAATCACCAACAGACAAGAATACATCGAATTTGTGAACTTAAAGGATAGTTCAAAACGAGAAATATTTTCCGCACACAGCGGGGAAAATTGTCACCTTGTCTCTCCTGGAGTTCATTGCAACGTAACAATTTAAAATTACGGATTATCAGTAATTGGATTTTAAAATATTTTCGGAAAGCCTAACGAGAGAATTGAATATTTATTTGTTTAAAATGTAACAACATTTCGACCTTAACCTTCATTTTAAACAGGGAAAAATATAACAAGAAAACATCGGCAAAAGAAAGCGAGTTGGGATGAAGAAAATGAGTTTAAATTATTTTCGAAAGAAATTACTAAATTATGTTGTGTAAATAGCTCACATTCGTTCGCGACGTCTTTCTAAGCTTTTCTTTTAGTTGGTTCTTTATATTTATAATTTGATACACGCAAAATGTTATGTCATAGGACACTTTTTTCCTGATCGAATGACTCGGCAAAAGCTTGGGAAATGTTGCTTCTGCGGTTTCATAGAAGCGGAAATCAAAGGTGTAGAATATTAGTTTTTTTTTCTGTAATCTAGACCCATATCCATGCTATAGTTACAAAAAATATCAACAGCGTTTCATCTCATTTTTTCCCTTTCGAAACCTTGGCGTAATGTCATAAATAATAGGATGCCAGTTATGATAGCGAGTCAAAACCTCTCAGTAGTGAATGATAACCGTCAAGAAAACAATACTTAATGGCAGAGGAAAATAATAATGCTTGCTTCAGCCCTAACTCTGGTGAAGATTGGTATCTAACATCAATTAGCCTATGTAGATACTAAAAATTCTTCCATGTCCTCCATGTTCAAATCAAGCGAACTTTTGTTACTGATTTAACACAGAAATTCCATGGTCGTTCATTAGAGTACAATTGCTGAAGCTTCTTATGACTATCAAAATTCTTTACATAACAGCCTTTAAAAGACTCTTGTTTAGAGCGGTCTGCTGCTTCCTTAATGAATAAAGAAACGTTCTCTTAAGTACAAGGAATGAAGTCTGGTATTTTTAAAAATTCCTTTCATACCAGTCCTTTATCCAAGAGGGTGGTCGACGGCTTCCTCGAGGACATGAGTTGGGTCAAAATTTGTAAGCAATCGATCATTTGGGAAATAACTTGGTCACCTGATTGTTTTCGTTCGTTCCTCGATTACTAGTTAGATTCCGAGCAGTGCATGTCATTTATCAGCAGAAGTTATCGCACCTGTCTTCATTTTTAATAACTTTTTTGGCCAACTTCAATTGTAAACATCTAACCTCGTTCTCTGGCTGTCTCTCCATTCCGGCCAGGAAGAACCTGGAAACTAGGTAGATGGGAAGGATATAGAGGCTAAGAGACAGCCTAAAGACTCAAGTTAAAGCGCATTTTATTTTTCCGCCCTATAACTCAGACAACAGTAAGTTTATTGTACCTATGTTCATTATGCCAAGCATGTCTTTCATTCTCTCACAGACCACCGCCTTATTATGCATAAAATACATTAGCATAATGATATTAGAGCTCGAACTAGAATTAATTAAGCCAAAAATACTGCTCAGACCATCTTTATATCGCGCTTAATTTTTATTCGTAATTTATCGTTTAATCTGTTTTTTTTTACGATAATCATCACAAATTTAGAACATAAAATATGTAGGAAAAATTATATCGTTCGAGTTCTGTATATTAGCGTAGAATTTACACGGACAAATGTTTGGGCTTGTCCAAGACAACCAACCTTGAATCAAACCATGCATTTGCTGAATTCCCATTTCTTTCCTTTTTGACGAAGTAAAGACATCGCCGCAAGAAAAAGGTTCTGTTAAATGGGAGGAAACCTGAGGATTTTGTGAAGTCTTAAGCACGAAGTCTTAGGCTTAAATCTCACCCGAATGAAATCTGATATGGCAGTATTGCGTTGCTTTTAATTATTCTAATATTGGTTTAAGTTATTCGCTGATATCAGCGTGGAATTGAAAGAGAGATAAAAACTGAAAGAACTTCTTTTAGGCTAATTAGCCGCTGCTGTTTATTACTAATTTTGTGTGGAGAGGAGGCATCCATTTTATTTCTGTTAATTTCTGTTTTGGTTTCGATTGTTTGATTTTTTCTTAACTGCCTGAAAAGATTCTTCGTTCGACAAAAGCGGTGAAACGCTTTTACAATCATTTACACACTCCTCCCTTCCCCAAACACTGTCTTATATTAACAAGCACAATATTTGAATGGGAGAAAGTTCAACAAGAAAATGTCGCTTATAATGAAGTTTGCTCAATGATTGATTGCACCGAAATATCATAAAAATAACAAAGGGCTAATGCGTGAGCTTCAGAAACATTTTCCATCATCAACTCGGATGACAGAACCAAATAATCTCATACTAACCCCCACCGACGCAGCACCACAGTTTCTAACTTAATTCATGAAAAATAAGTTAGCCAGCCCGTGTCTAACCATAGCCAATATTGATAAATCTTCATGTGTATTTCTCCGCGAGACTTGGAGCTATTCCGTATATGTTTGAAGCATGTTCGGCTCTAGCGTGACTAGTTCCTCGCATAAACCACCGCACATTCATTACACTTTTATCCCTTTTCCTCTATTTTAGCAAACACCCAGGATAACAGGATAGATCCCAACACCTAAGGCATTTAAAAGAGAAAAAAACTTCATTTGTAAGACGTGTAGCTTCGAAACAGTGTTTTATTTCAAACTTGAAAATCTTTGTACTATGTAAGCACTTAAAGTTTCAGCCTGATACTGCAAGCAAAAGGAAAGGATTCATCCTTTCTGTTGATTCAATTCATCAAATTAAGGCTCAGTTTTGTCTGTAATCTCCAGAACGGTAAAACTTTCAAACACGCGACAACGGAAATATCTCCGCGCCTTATGAAAGTCATCCGCGCTTCATACCTAGGGAACCTCGTGCTTTGACTTCAGGCCCAGTATCTCCTCGTCCAGGAGTGAACGGTGTGGTACTCAGTCTCTTGTATCTCTTAGCGAATGAACCTCCACAACCCAGTTTGAAAACACGACGCAAAAGGGACGTCGATCTTTACGAAATTTAGCAATTCTTTTCTACATCTCCAAAGCTGTCATCCCCCAGGTTACCTTCTAAACGGTGGCAGTTTAAAATGTCCACTCATCAAGTGTGATGGCTCCTAAATCTTCACTTGCACCCGCAGTAGCATTTTCTTGGTCTGCAAGGAAAATCAAAGTCGAGTTACGCTTTTCGACATCAATGGCTACTTCATCAATGACCGCCTAACTCCGCCTATTTCCTTGGTTATTCTAAGTACCAAGTAATGCATGATCGTTCATATGTTATTCCCTTAAACCCTGAGAGTAACTAGTATCTAATTTCCCCCTACAATATCATTTCTAAATCAAAAATGAACTGATCCCTAACTAAAGAGGCTCTTCATTAGTAGACAAATTCTCCTCGTCAGTACCTGAGGAAACGTATCGAAAAGAGTATGGAGAGTATGGATATTGATGTTAGAGTGTGAATGGTTAGTTAAAGGAACTATTTCAGTGCAAAGTTGGGCAAGAATGAGCACAGATGATCCGTCTTACCAATGCGTTTATCTCTCTCACAGTTTGCGAGCGATGGAACGGAAGACAAGAGATCAGGCAAGAGCTCCTTCGCTTTCCGCTTCACCTGCAAACAAAGAAAATTGAAATGGCTAAGAAACCTTTCTTTATTTTAGCATTAGTCTGGTTAATTTACAGAGACCTTTTCTCCTCTATAGGCAGAACGTGCCACGCGCACGATTTAAGTCTCGGTTGATCAAGTGTCCATCTCCATCCAAAAGACATGGCTTTAGAACAAGGCGAATTTAGTATCTGCGATCTACGTGCCAAGAAACGACTTTGAACCCAGCCCAACAGCATTGTCTTTAAGCCTTAGCTCGCGACAACGCGAGATGATCTTCCTTCAAAGGCCACTGACAAAAAATGTTGCAATAATTCTGAGCTGTTGCAGTTCTTCGTTACTATTCACTATGAATTGTTTACCTGCTTGAAGAACACATGGGATGCCAAGCCGGGAGCTGTTGGTCTGTCAATAAGAGGAAAGTTGTAGTTGTTTCTGCGTGCAAAATCAACTTGTAGTATCGGTAATCCGAGAATTTCTTCGTAGAAACAGTTTTCAATCGAATAAGGAAAGTGATGCGAGATGAAATTGTTTTGCATCAATCACGCTCTGAGATTGATTTTATTTCGATCATTTTTCACAGACAGAACCGCGGTCTTTTTCACTAATAGAAGTCACGTTCTGTGATTGGTCGACAAACAACGAACCACCCTTTCAACCAATCAGAAGTACGGCTGCAACCAATAGTGACTACGGCACTCACATTTTCCCGCACTTTGGGCCGGTTAAGTGCACATGCTTTCATCGATACAACTAAGGGCTCTAATTATTTCCTCAACTTTGTTTTATGATTGGCCATGTTTCGTGCCCATATATCTAAAAAACTATTTAAAAAGCCGGCGAAATATTCGTCAAAATTTCTTAGTTTAATATCAGAGGGAAACAAAATCAATACCAGTTTCGCTAAGGAAATAGGAATCGAATATGAAAGCGATCTTTGCAGTAATGAGATAGGAATCGATTGCTCTTTCTTTTTTATCTTTCTTGTGTCCTACCAATGGAAGCAAGGTTTCCTTTTCTTTCAACCGGAGGTATCAAAAACTTAAAAGGTGCCATTTTACCTTAACGAAGGATCTCTTTGCAAACATGAGTCAACAACCTGCGAAAAGAAGGCAGAGCGACAAACTTGACTCAAAAAATTGTAAAGGGCGTAAGTTTCTAAAGAAGCTGTGGTGCTGCGTCAATGGGGGAGTATAAAAGGGTTATTTAGGATTATCAACTACGTTGATAACGTAAATTGGCCACCGTGAAGAGTCCTTCGTCAGACGTAGCATGCTTCATGAACGCACATTCATGCTTTAGTTCAAAACATACGCCTGCACTGTAGGCTTTGTTCAGGTCACGATCATGGAATGAATTTCAATCATTTTTCACTGACAGAACCACGCGTTGAAATTCAAATTCACAACCCACAAGCTTTTGAATTTAAAATTTATAGTGTCAAAAGCCCGTTGACAGGGAGGAGTAACTTTCTTTTTTTTTCATAGGAAGAGTCGTCATAAAAAGTTTACTGCACTGCAATCTGTTTGTGTGTCTACCTCCCTAATGTTATGTTGTGTGTGCCGATGCAAGATAGAAATATCACACATTTCAACATGCATACAGAACGTGCTGGGAGCTTTCCATTTATCACGTCTGACTATGTATCAGTGTAAATAGAAATTAACATTCCATTTCTTTAGATTAAAGGCATGGGAGATGTGCTCTCTTGGGATTGAAAATCATTTTGCACCTTCGTATGTACTCCTTAGCGTCTAAAAACACCGGTGCCATTCGTAGGCAGCACGCGCAAGAGTATGTAACGGACTGATCCCGCTCTGTCAATGCTCAGAGCCGACCTGTCCAATAGGCCATTTTACAGTTGCGCACCTAGTTGCCAAGCCTTTGATTTGGAGTGAGGCTGAAGGTGACCTTGTTGTGATAGAGACCAGTATCTAGTTAGCATGATAACAAAGTAATTTTCATTTGAAAAGCAGCGAGGTTTGTATCATAGCAGGGTCACCCTTAGCCTCACACCTGTTCAAAGGCTTGGCAATCAAGCACACAACTGTAAAATTGACTATTCATGGACTAAAACGTCCAGCTTGCAAGTTCTAACTGATGGCAGTCGGTCTACTTTCACCCACCTGCTGAAAAGCAAGGGAGAACAGGCCCTGGAATGTGACTTGATTTGACTCTTTTCCTTCACCGGCGGAAGGGAGGTCGCTGCCGAAACCCGAGTCGGTAGCTGAAGTCAACTGTGCCGAGGTGTCCACGTCATTCATTACCAGTGAGTCACACAGCTTTGGAGTGCTACCTTTCAGTTTCTCCAACAATACCTGCGATAAAACACGGTCAAGCTTTGTTAGACTATTCATCTTCAAACAGGGGTTTGCAATAAAAGTCGGCAAACAGCAAAATTGCCATACATATCAAGCGAAATCGCCGCCTTTTTTCTCTGACACAAGTAATATTAGAATACAAATCGAACTTCCATAATAGCCGCTTACTTAATACTTTTCCCGCTTACTTTAAAACTTACTGAAAACCATGAATGAAGGGACTAAAACTGCGTGAAAATGCCCTTGTTGTAATTTTGGCATTCCAACTCCTTGCAAAATATCATTACAATCACTGACTTTTCTTTATGATTAGTAGTGCAACTAAGTTAGTTTACCCTTTCCTCGGGGTATTCTGTTGCTGTACTAGATGAGGAATACGTTCCCACATATTTTTGGCCAGACTGATATTTGAGTGGTTTTTGCATCTGGCATAGCACAGGTATTTTTTCTAGAACCCTTTGTTTCAGGGTACACATGCTAAGATCGTATAAGGATGCGTATACAAGAATACTGACTGACCCGTCACAGGAGGAGAACATAAGAGGAATGACTGACTCAACCTTTATATAAACTTTTCACTTTGATTGTCTCGTGTGAGTGTAATCAGAATGTATATCAGTTGTACCTTGGTGGGTGGCATTCCAATGTATGGAACAGTCCCTCTGGCCAACTGTATAGCAGTTATGCCAACACTGTAAATATCAGACTTGTAATCATAACCTTGAAGATCCTGTGATGATAATGATGACACATCAAAACTTTCATTCATTGCTAGCTCAAAGTAATGAACACTCAGTTAGGGTATTAAAACAGTAAGAAAATTTTAGTTTATCAAATAAAAAATTAGCAGCAAGCTTGAAATAATAGTAAGAAGGGTTTAGTCTGTCCACAAGCAAAATGACCCACAGTGCTCAGCTTGTCAAAATTTCCCCAGTGTGGAGCAACTCATTGTGCTGTTACTTCACATGTGAGAGTTCTTTCATAGGTTACCTTCAGCATTTCCTCACCTTTCCCTCACATGTCAGTGGTACCCATTAACCCTTTACACCCTAATATCAGCATGTGTATTCCCTACATTGTTCTTGCTACATTTCCCAGGGTGCAGACAGGGAGGATCTTGTTAAAAATCAAAAGCTTTTCAAGGTTGTGACCACTTCCTTGTTTCTCATGAGCCTTGTGTTTGATTCAACAGTGATACCTTACTGAGAAATTAGATGTTGGTCTAGGAGGGGAGGTCCCACCAAAGAACAAACATACTGACCTGGGCCAGAAATTGAACCTGGCCCTTTCCATTCAGGTCCTGGAAACTAATCATTCAGTCACAGGGTATTTGAAGCCTTTTCAATAAACAAAAATATAGTTCCATTTAGACTACATAGCGTACCTGTTGCAAAATTTCTGGTGCCATCCATGGTAAAACAGCAACTGCATGTGCTGGAAAATGATGAGCAATCCTAGAACTTTTGCTTTCCTGGAGGAGCATGATAGATTTCCTCAAACCTGACAAGCACACTGTTCCATCTGCACCAAGTAAAATGTGACTTCCTTTGATGGCCCTAACAGAGATAAAATGGACAGATTTGTCACACCGACCACACAGACAAATTTCATTTTAAATGGGTTTCACCCTTCTCAACAGACCAAAAGAAAAAGAAGAATATATTACAGCTTTGAGTGGCTGAGAACTCAATGAAAAAATGAGCAAGCTTCCTGAACCATGGGAGAACTCAAGGCACCAAGTGCCAATTGGTTTTTAGTTTGAATTTGATTACTTGAGCAAGTGGTAAAGAAGTTGCAACAAAGAAATTGCTGAATACTTCTGACACTCAGCTGATCTCAAAACTTTCTTCTTAAAAGAATTAAGTATACCTGTGGATGATACCCATCTTGTGAAGATACTCTAAACCTTGCAGGACCTCATAGAGAATTGCAGCAACAATAATTTCACCCATACCATCATGAAACCTTGTCTTCAAAATATCAGAACATGATCCTGGGAACAAAAGTGTGAACATGATTATTTACCTTTGCCAAGTATAGGAAATCATTTCATCAACACAGAACTTGCATAAATTTGGACCATAGAGGGCTGTTGAAGGACTGTCTATAAATTGCATGTGGCAGATGCAAAGGTTGGTGTAGGATTTAAGCAAGTGGGAGATTGATCAAGGTTGGGTTAGCTTTATGATTAGATCAAAACTACAAAAAGCCATTGGTCAAATTGATGTTTCAGATAATAATTATCATGAGAATATGAATACACTCCGATATGAATCAGGGCCCAGTCATATAGCATGCAAATAGTAATATCCAACAGATAAATCACTATCCAGTGGATAAGTGATGCAAAATGTACTGCGCTGTCCACCAGATAGAGATTTATTCAGTGGATAAATTGTTATCCAACCTTCGAAAAACCAGGGCCTGGTTGTTTGTAATTTTGATGTCGTGGTAGCAAAAATGGCTCTGAAGACTCATGGGTATTATAAGGTTGATTGCAATCACAAGCACATAAAAGTAATTGACACCCTCACCTAACTGCATTAGAGGGAGGACATGCCACACCTCATGCCTGGTCACAAATGAACAGTAAAAGGGCAGAATATTTGGGTGACAGAGGGACCGCATCACTTGCACTTCATTCTGTGACAGATTTAATGTAAAAAGCACAACAACTGAAAACTTTAGCAGGGGTAACATAGAACAAATGAAAACATGTTACTAAAAGGGAGTATTTAGACTTTCTTAGGTATACATGGGATTCAGACCTCCATTGTTTTGCGAAAGTATCTGAAAGAACACCACTGGACAATAAAATGCTATTTCTACCACAAGGCTAGAAAATTAGCTACAACTGAGCACCCTATTTGAGACTGGTTGCAATATTTGTTGTTAATGTCTTTACTGAGAGAGAGAGGCTGTGAGAAAAGTCACTTCATTGGCAAAGAACTCTGCTTGCCCCATATGACCAGACAGGAGTTTTTTAGCACCTCCAAGATAACATTACAAAACAAGAACAGCTACAAAAACAACTACAGCACCAAAAACAGTTTGTCCATTAAGTGCCCTAAAGAGCTCCTTTCTGAGAGTTTCCAGTAACTTTAAACTGGTCTGTGAAGCTTTTCTGATTTCATTCAAAATGGGGGTTTTAAATTACAAAAGATTATACAATAAAACTATCAGCTAAAGAAAACAAAATGGACTGGTTGGGGTGCCAAAACCTACTTCTCTATTCTTTAAATTTTGATTTTAAAGTATGGCTTTGGGCCTCAGAGCCTCTACTTTATCAGTTCAACCCAAGCTGCATAACCTTTTGCTCTTATGGACTGATCAGGGAGTTCCAGATCTACCACAGTGACTAACAAAAAAAAAAGTTGCACAAACCAGATAGACACTGGGGAGGGAGACTCTGCCTACAGTGAAGGCTGTGATGACAGTGATGAAATTCTGTATACAGACCTTTAAATCTTCCAGCTGTGCAGGATTTTGAACATCAACATTAGTCTGCTTCACAACAACTAGTGATTTTGAAGGACAATGACTGGCCACATACACTTTGGAAAGTTCATCAAATCCCTTACCTAAATGCAAACATACAAACAGTAAATGATTAGGAGCCATATATTAAAAAAAAAAAGTTATCAAGTACACAATGCAATATTAAGTGCATGAAAACACCATACACCACCAGTATGCAGTGATCAAAGAAGCCTTTCCTTGGCTACTTTGAGGGAATGATGAGTAGACAAGATAGTATGGCAGAGGAACCTTTTCAGTTGACCTAAGATATTTCTTTTTCATTGAACCATATCAAGATAGTTTTAGGGTATGCTATAAATTTGCTGAGCTGACACCTGAACTATGGAGGCTGACTTATCATCAGCCATTGTTAAAGGAAGGCAATTTTTTTTTTCAGCATAAACATGGCACAAACAAAAATTCTGAGTCCCTATGAAGAATCTCTGGATACCCACGCTCCTGAGCTATAGAGACTATATGGCAATAATACACACAAATCTAACCCTTTAACCCCCAAGATCTGATTATTAATTCTCCCTGCTAGCTGCTACACATTTCCTTGTAAATTATTTGCAAGAATTGGTGTTAGATCAAGATAACAACTTCTACCTGATACATTTGAGTACTCTCATTATCTGTTTGCTGGATAGTGGATGGATATTGTTGGGAGAAGTTACATGTGAATCACTGCTGGGAGTTAAAGGGCTGATATGCATCCTGCATACTGCTAGGATTTACAACCTTGAGAGCCTCATGCGAGTGAATAGCTTGCGACAGATTGTAGGCCAGGAAAATAAAAAATAGACCAGGATCATTGTAGCCTCATTATTTTTTCCATGAAGTCTTAATCCACAATTATCTTTAAGTATCAATACACAAAGTTTTGAAAAATGTGGCCCAGCTTTGTCCATGAAGAGGAACACCATGAGAATGCATAGAATACCATTTACACTCAGTTCAAAACATGCACATTTCATAAATCACTTTACCAATGAAGTTAAGAAGCTTATATTCCAGAGGATTTGGAAGAAACACCATTCTTGATTGGCAAAGGTTCAAAACTTCCAATGACATTGTTCCCTGATCTGTAGATATTTGCTATTAGCAATGAAAAAAAAAATTACCATGAGTATACCCTACTATGCATTCATAGCTAAGCCTCTTTTCTTTGACAGATTTAGAAATTATTTCATTGAGAATGTTCTGGAATGACTTTTATTCATGAGCGGCCATGCATAAAAAAAAGGAATGAGTGATCACAGCAATTGAGCGAGTTTGTTGATCAAAAATTATTCAAGCACTTTCCATGGTATGTTTTCATTTCATACCAACTGAGATTTTTTCTTTCTGATCAACACATTTTAAAGATTGGAAGCAAACAACTTTGAAAATATATCACTCAGAGACATTAATGATAGTCCTTCACAGTGTTAACCTCAGTATGTATAAAGTTAATTAAAATGTGACCTCCTCGAGCAAACATCAGTAAGTTTTTTAATGCATCAATCAATAACCAAAAAAAATCACAATCAGAAAATTAAATTCTAACTGACAGCAGGGCACCCATATCAATGTATGTTACAAATCCAATTAGGCACGGCAACAGACCACCTTGTTCAAAGTAGGATTAAGTTAGTCGTAGACCCCAGTTATAATTTTTGGAGTTTGAGATTTACTCTTAGACTAATACAAATTACAATAAATTTTTACATCATTGTCTTGTAAAGTTTTTAGCCCTTACAAACCTGATTTGGTGCTTGATTCACAATTTCTGCTGGTGAAACGGCTACATGTGCCGTGTCAACGCAAATACACTGGAAAACAAGAGAAAATCGACGTGGTTAACATGCAGTGCAGGTGAATCGGCGAAGAGTATGACTAAAGTACGGTTGATGAAAACTACCGGCGATCTGATTAGAAAACACCAGACATCATTTAGTCAGACAGCACGAGTTTCGTACATACCAGGTGTGTCATGAATCCATGAATGTGAGCAGTGAAAGCACCAGTGCCGTTTTTAACTTTCTTGAAATCAAGAACGGGATTAAAACGAGCGATTACGCGCGTCCATGTTTGTTTTGACCGGAAAACGACTTGAATTTACCTTTGCGTGTCGGTTCAAAGGAAATAGGGAGTGTTGAAAAAGCAAAGAGTATGAAATATACAACGAAAAGAAAATTGATAAAATCAAGGAACTGTACAGCATAAACTGGTTTTACTGTCCACAAACTCTTTCAGATGACCTTCCAGATGGCAAAGATTTGAAACTTGCACTCCGGATACGAATACGCAAATTATTGGTCAGCAGAACGACTATTTGTAAATATATAATTTAACTACATATAAATTTCAATTTTAATCAACGTAGTCCTCGGTAGTATAGTGGTGAGTATCCCCGCCTGTCACGCGGGAGACCGGGGTTCGATTCCCCGCCGGGGAGTATGGACTACAATTTTTTTTTTCTTTTTACTGTTTCTGCAAAGACTCTATGTACTCTACCAAGGCAGTGACGCGTACTGTTGTGTCTGACTAATCACGCTGAAACATAAATAAATGCGACCATCAGAAGTAAAAATAGGACAGGAAAATATGAAATAGGGTGGATATAAATCCGCACAGGAAGTTCATATTCTGGAAAAAGGATTCAATTTTGTATGTAAATTTTGTCATCAACTGAAACCATTAGAAGTTTAATTTCCAAGTAAGTGGATTTCTTTTGGCATTTATTCACTTTATTTTCACCAAAGACAACTTTCCCGTAAAGAGATAGCTCGAATTGTTTCCGGAGCCTGCGTGTTTTAGGTCAGCGGAGACCAAACCCGCCAAAAGGAAAAAACTGGCGCTTTGAGGAGAATGGTTGTGAACCCAAAGCAAGGCCAAATCGCGGATAGACCGTGCAAAGGAGTGCAAAAGTGAAAGCTAATTTAGTTCCATCGACTTGAGAAGATACAGGGTGAAATACTAAGATGTAGTTGGGAGCGTTTGGCTTCGATTTTCGAAGAAAGCGTCTTTAATTGCAAAATCAACGCCATCGACAATACCTGACTGCCGTCAAATTGCCGTAAAAACACAATATTTATTGCGGATCCTTTTCTTTGACCTGAGAGAGGCTTGCGTGCCACATAGAACACCTTTTACACCTCGCAACTGCGATAGTAACGCTCCGCAAAGTTGTCTTGAAGGAGAAGGTTGTCTTAGCTATCCGAAACCAAATGCCTTATGCTCTTTTGATACGATCATTCGTAAGTTCATTTAATGTGACATAAGACGGTAATTTTTTATCTTGTGAAGAAAAAAAAAAATTATCATTTTGAGTTGTTTCCCCTAATCTTTTAATCATATATTATAATTAACAGTTTGCAAAAATATTCAGTCTGAGTGGAAAAAAAAAATTAAAATGATCATAATGACCGTCACGTAGGCAACACCAGCACGGGAAATGCTTCACAAGGTGATATGATGAATGATTTAGGATGATTTCATCCATCGACAGATTTCCTCGAACTTGGCGAAGTAGTAGTTTAAATTTGATGAAGGCTGAATATTTACATGAGACTTCTAAACAAAAACTTCATCGAGGTTAAACCAGATCAAACAAATCAAAAATCAAAATAAATATTTCATTTGCTGATGTGACAAAGTTTCCTTTCGTCTTTTCCTGTTTCACTTTCGAATTGGAAACAAAAAACAACAACTACAAGAACACAAAACAGTACAAAACAGATTAAACAAAAACCAAAGTAGAACAGAAAAAATAGTAACAAACACACACACAGGCAAAAAAATAACAAAAACAAATAAACAAACAACTCCAAATCAAATCATAGACCATGATAGTATGGTCC